AATGCAACGTATTCCACAGGCGAATTTTCTCCTGCTTTTTGCGTGCTTAATCGTTCCTGTGTGGTTTCGTTAGCTTGCATGCTTTTGCCGAGTGATCGATGTTGACATGCTTTTGCTGATTGATTTTTTTTTTCCTGGGATCTGTTGATTCGTCTTCATGTTTAATGTATTTTATTGTTGAATTCGGATTTCTTCTTATAAAATTGGCGAACACGCTACTAATGGGACTTGTAGACGATATGTTGGTTGTAAAACTTCCAATTGCTTTATGTGACAATGCTCTTGTTTTTTTTTTTTTCCTTTTTGAAAGATGCCAATGGAAAGGTCGTTTAGCAATGCAAGAATGGCCAACAGTTTCATGTTCTGGAATGATTGTGTTGACCCAGAAGATTTAGAAGCAATGTGGATGGATCCTTCTGTGAGAGCTGAGTGGTTAGATGTTGGAGAGACTCAAGGACAGAAAGTTCACCTCTCAAGGGATCCTGATGGTCAGCCTTATCTGACACAGACTGAGATGAAGGTTTGTTGTATGTTTGACAGAGAACTGTGGAGGGTTTTTCCTTTGAATTCAAACATTCCAATCGAAGATTGATGTGAATTTCATGAATACTAGTTCGACATTTTTAAGATTTTCTGTCTGCTTATTGATCAATCCCTTATTATTGCAGGCTGTTGCTGATATTACTGTTCGAAGACATTTTGATTCAATGTTGGATCCGGTATGCTATACTTTCACTTATCACAGAGACTTTCACATTTGATTGTTTGATCAAAGTGGGCAGTTGTTTGAAAAACTAGTACTATTCTAAAAGTTATCGAAACCAACTATTCCCTTTTTGATCTCAAAGTTTTGCATCTCCCTCTTCCCTGCAGGAAATGATATGCGCAATTGCTGAGCTTGAAAGTGACCGAAAGCCTCTCATTATGCGATACAACAAAAAGACCAAGGAAACTGGCTTAGGAATTCTACAAGTTTTCGAAAAGACAGCTCAGTGGTTGGCAGGGTACAAAATTTTCTAGATACTCTCCTTTCAAAGAGGATCTTAATTTTTTTTTAATCTTATGTTCCGGTTTTTACTGAAATCTATTGCAGGGGACAAGGCTATCAAGAATATAACGTGGATGACAATCCTGATCTTCTTCACAAGCCCTTTATAAACGTATACTTTGGGGCAGCTTACCTGAAATGGTTGACAGACTATCAGAATAAGTATGATTCCTTGTCCCTGAGTTGACATTGTTAGCTTTACAATTTCAATGATAACATACCTAATTTTCTCCTGCAATCACTTAATCTTCTTACAACTTTCCATGTGCAGCCAGAGAAGTGAAGAGTTTGTTGTCAGAGCATATAATGGCGGGACGAAAAAGGCAACTCACAAGTCGACATTACCATATTGGAAACGATATCTTGCAGTGAAGGATGCTCTCCCTTCAAGGTTTTGTTTCTGCTCTCCAATTTTTCTCTCTACCTAGTTTCAGTCAGTCATCATTATGCTGTGTAGATATAGAAACTAGTTTTGTGTTGCTGTTTGCTTTCGTATTGTTATTTTTTGTTCATACTTATAATAAGGTAGTTGCACCAAAAAACTGAGAGAAGAAAAGCCTCTGTATTAAAGGTGCAGTCTCTTTGCTTAATTGTTATTGCAGAAAGCATGGTGATGCTGGCCCTTCAAACTTTCATCCTACTAATCCCGACTCACCAGGCTCAAGTAATCTCTCTCTCTTTGTATTTTTCTGTATCATGCATCTTACACCAACGTCTGCACGTTTATACACGAGCATCTGTTTCATACATTTTATGTTCTCTAGAAATATCAGGAGCATGGTCCAGTGTGACAGTGTTTTAGCTGAACATGCACTCAGATTTCGAGAACCTCCATCATTCTCTCTTATAAGTTTTGATAGAAACTGGAATGTACCCTCTGTTTGGACAGATACCAATTTCACATACTGGGACTCTAGAGCTTCCCCCGAAGATATGGAAGATATGTGGAATCATTCCGAGGTTTGTAAAGAGTGGACAAAATCTAAAGAGGAGAGGGGAAAGGTTCGTTTCTCACAAGATGGTGAAAAGAGGCCATACCTTTCTCGAGGGGAACTGAAGGTACCGTCGTTGAATTGAGCAGTTATGACATACTCCTATTTTCCTGAGCAACTAGACACAGTTCTAGAACTATTACCTTCACCGTTCTCTATAATATTCTCTTTTTCAGGCTGTTGTAGAAATAGTTGTTTCAAAGTACTTCAGCACAAAAGGAATCAAAGTTGTAAGTGTGCATATCTGTTAATCATCCCTTGTTTCACTATATTTCATCCCTATTTACTGGACATATATATCGCTATTCATATTCTGTTCTGAAATAGATTCCATTTCACTGATGTAGGCTCTTGTTTGTGCTGTTGCTGATACTGTGAGCATGCGGTTTGTGAATGGTACTGGGAAAAAAGTAGGAATACTCGGAGTGGACTACTCAACCGCTTCCTGGTTATACACGTAAGTTTGTGACTGAGCTTCACATTTCTCTGTAGTCACATATAATGTCTACCAAATATGAAACCCAAATGTGGCTGTTTTCTGAATGAAGGGAGCTAGGATACCGAGCATACAGAGTCGAATCAGCAGACGATCTAACAAAACCATTTGTTTCTGTGTACTTTGGTGTAGCGTATTTGGTTTGGTTATCCGAATATGAAGGACGGTACGCTTCCCACTCGCTACTTAAAAACTCCTGATTTTGCAAATATATCTTAGTCAAACATCTGAATCTGAAATAAAGTGATATATGTGTCGATACACAGGCAGAGAAGTAATCAGTTCATTGTACAAGCTTATATCAAGGATCCTGAACATGTTGATCTTGAGGCATCATGTCCACTCTGGCTCAAGTTTGAGCAAGCTCTGAGTTACTATGAAGAGTCCAAGAGGTATTAAAGTTCATAACCGCAACAATTTGTTTTCCGTCAATAAAAAAAAGAGCAATCGGATTTGATGATTGATTGATGGCTCTTTTTGGTCATATCAGGGATACAGGAAGCTGCATTATACTATGAGACCAACGTCTACGGTCTATCCATACACATATGATGAAGACTAAAGGGGTTTAACTATGGATTGTGTGTTTTGTATCTCAAGATTTCATTTCTACGGTTTCTCTTCTTTTTTATGAAAACAAAATTCTGTCATTTCTTTTGTTTGTACTATGAAATGATTAACAGCTCAGGAGAAATCAAACAAATGACTGATGTTTTTCAGAAGGGTAAAAACAATCTTGAACTCGGTTTGAAGAAACTGGTTTGGAACCAAAAAAATCATCGTAACTACAAACAGAACTACCAAAAATATCAACAAACAGCATCAGATTCAGGCGCGTAACTGGTTTAGATTCCGATTTTGAATAGACCAAAAAATTAGATCCGGTTTAATACTCAGGTTCGGATAAACCGGGTTTGAACTCCCCTAGTTTACACGTGTATATATATGTCCAAAGACAATTTGAGAACTGAGAACGGAGGCTTAACGAATTCTTCGATTTTTGTGTATTTCGAGTCAAATTTCGAAGAGAATGGAGGAACCCACATCGGAGGAGGAAGGTGGAATCACCATCATAGCTAAATCTCGCAAAAACCCTAAAACCATAGACCGAATTCATCCCCAGAAACTTGAGTCCGACCAAAATGCTCCTCAATTTGAGAAATTCACAAGTCCTAACCCTAGCTCCGACACTACTACACCCGCCGCAAATTTCGAAGGACTCGGATTAGCCGAGTGGGCAGTTGAAACCTGCAAGGAGCTTGGCATGCGTAAACCCACTCCAGTTCAGACTCACTGCATCCCGAAGATATTGGCAGGACGAGACGTTTTAGGCCTTGCTCAAACCGGTAGTGGTAAAACGGCGGCGTTTGCTCTTCCGATTCTTCACCGTCTCGCCGAAGATCCGTATGGAGTCTTCGCCCTTGTGGTGACGCCGACCAGGGAGCTAGCGTTCCAGCTCGCTGAGCAGTTTAAGGCGTTGGGTTCGTGTTTGAATTTGCGTTGCACTGTGATTGTAGGAGGAATGGATACGTTGACACAAACGAGGAGCTTGGTTTCACGACCTCATATTGTCATCACTACTCCTGGGAGAATTAAGGTTTTGCTTGAAAACAATCCAGATATTCCTCCAATCTTCTCTAGAACCAAGGTAAAGTACATTCACTTTTCTTGCTCCATTCACAGTTTGAGCTTGTGAAAGTCACTTCCTTTTGGTTCTTTGGATTCTTAGCCTTACTTAGTGTATGTGTGGTTGGTTTGTTTAATTAGTTCTTAGTGCTAGACGAGGCGGATAGAGTTCTTGATGTTGGTTTCCAAGACGAGTTGCGAACAATCTTTCAGTGCTTGCCCAAAAGTAGACAGACATTGTTGTTCTCTGCTACAATGACTAGTAACTTACAGACATTGCTCGAACATTCTTCAAACAAAGCTTATTTCTATGAAGCCTATGAAGGGTTAAAGACAGTTGATACTCTTACCCAGCAGTACATTTTCTTAGATAAAGATGCGAAAGAACTATATCTTGTGCATATCTTGTCACAAATGGAAGACAAGGGCATTCGATCAGCCATGATTTTTGTCTCGACTTGCAGGTCTCATATTTATAGCTTTATAAATTCATCTTTTAGCGGGTGATTTTAATTTGTCGTTTCTGATTAGAGGTTGTTTCGTATTTTTAGAACATGTCAAAGGTTAAGTCTTATGCTTGAAGGGCTTGAAGTGGAAAACGCAGCTATGCATTCTCTGAATTCTCAGTCTATGCGACTCTCTGCACTCAGTAGATTCAAGTCTGGGAAAGTACCGATATTGCTTGCAACTGATGTTGCCAGCCGTGGATTGGACATTCCTACTGTTGATCTTGTCATTAATTATGATATTCCAAGGTGCCTTCTAGTGAAGATTTCCTTTTTCTTCTAATCTCTGTACTTTTCACTTGTCCTGGTATTCTAACTCTACGCTTGGTTCACATCAGATATCCGAGGGATTATGTTCATCGTGTTGGACGTACAGCTAGAGCTAGCAGAGGAGGACTGGCTGTAAGCATTATCACTGAGGTAAAGTAGCAAATCATGAAACCACACGAAATATCAACTCTTAAGATTCTTGTTCGTGGTTTGCTTTGAACCTAACCCTTACATTTCCTTCTGCAGACCGATGTGAACCTTATCCATGAAATAGAAGCAGAGGTTGGAAAACAGATGGAACTGTACAACTATAGAGAAATCACCGACAGTTTAGAAGTCACAAAGGTAAGATTCGCTGTGTGATACTTTAAAGTTGCCATCTTTTATATTCGGCTCAGTCTTATCCAATACTGAGTCGTACCAGCTGCTTCATGGTGGGGTGTCTAGTATATTAGTAGGTTTACATTGGTATATAAGGAAAGAAAGGTCAATTGTTAGCTGTGATATATACATCCAGACATGATCACTGATCCAAACTTCAAGGCCTGAGGCTTACGCAAACTTCATAAACTGAATTTGTAGGTCTCAAAAGCCAAAAGGGTGGCAATGATGAAAATGCTAGACGATGGATTCGAAGACAAGGTTAAAGACCGGAAGAAACAGAAACGTAAAACACTTGCGGATAAAGGGTTGCTTAAGAAACGGAGCAAAAGGCAAAAATCTGCAGAAGAAAATTGATGACTAAAATCATCTTCAAGTTTTGTTCTCTTGGCTGCGCTTTGAACAGCATATCTCTGAGAATCCTTGTTTGTTA